CAGAAAGGGGAAATTATGCAGGATGGGATTGGAAAGGGACACAGAGCCCAGAAGATCTAGGACATGGATTGGTTAGGGGAGGGCCCAGTGCAGCCCCTACGGGCCTGGGAAAGTGATGGGCTAGTTTCCAGAAGCACCTGGCCCTGCCAGGCCGCGTGGCTCAGGTGGAGCATCAACCTATGAACCAGGAGGTCACTGTTGGATTTAGGTCAGGGCACGTGCCTAGTTCCAGGCTGCATCCCCAGGAGGGGACAAGCAGAAGGCAGCTGACCCATGATTCTCTCTCATCATTGATGTTTCTCTCTCTCATCTCTCTTTCTCTCTGAATTCAATAAAAACATGTGTTTTTAAAAAGCGCCTGGTCCTTCCCAAGCTTAAAGCAGCCACCTGGGGCCCGCAGCAGACCACAGGGCTCCAAATGGTGCCCCAGCACAGGGCCAGCCCGAGCGCCGGCAGAACAGAAGCTGCCGGCGGAACAGAAGCTGCCGGCGGACGGGGACGGGGACCAGACTGGACTGAGCCTGCGGCACAGAACTCCGGGCACAGGCCTTAGAGCAGGACAGACAGCTGAGGCCTGGGGACATTTATTTCAGTCCCAGTGAACTTACCACTAAGCCATGTCCTCCCATGTGTGGGTCCCAGAAATGCTTTTCTTGCAACTCCGTGGAAAGACCCCATTTCCATCAGCAACAGAGTTATGGACAAATTTTTTGTGTGATTATGTTTTTGCTTTTTAAAACTTGTGATAATATCGTGATTATGTTTTGTTTTTGAACATTAAAATGTTTACAGATAAGTTTTGATGTTGTGTAGGCAGAGAAATAGTTTTCTAAATTCTTCTGGCTGGACTAGGAATCAAATTAACATGAGACAGATTAACAGGATAAAATTACCAAATATATATATAAAATATATTTTTATTGATTTCAGAGAGGAAGGGAGAGGGAGAGATAGAAACATCAATGATGAGAGAGAATCATTGATCGGCTGCCTCCTGCACACCCCCTACTGGGGATCGAGCCCGCAACCCGGGCATGTGCCCTTGACTGAAATTGAACCTTTCAGTCTGCAGGCTGATGCTCTATCCACTGAGCCAAAATGGCCAGGGCACCAAATATACTTTTGAATGGAGTTTTTTGGGTAAAATGGGAGTTTTTAGGGCTGAAATAGGCAAGTTTAGGAAATTTTAAAAACTTAAGGGGTCCATAAAAAACACACAAGGCCACAGAGTTGCAAAAGGATACATTTCCATAAGACAAGGGAGCAGCAGATGTTACATTTCCATAAGAGAAGGGAGCTGGGAGTAGCAAAAGGTACACATTTACAGAATAAAGGGAAGGAGGAAGAAAGCCCAGAGGGAATAGGAGAACAATGAGGGAGGAGAGCCTCAGGTGTCCCGCATGAGGTTCCCATGTGAGGTTCAACCTTTGCCTCAGGAGTTGCTATAGTGACCAAATCAGAAGGGGATGGTGACCAATCAGAGGGGACATCAAGGCACAAAGACCTGCAGCCTTTATAAACCGTAGGGAAAAGGGACTCAGTGCGACGCTCTCCTCCTCCCCAGATGGGAGTCTGTGCTTGTTCTTCAATGAATTTACACCTTTGCTATACCATCTTCCATCTGTGGTTTCATTCTTCGACTCCAATGGACAAAGAACTGGGGAAAAGCCATCCTGCCCAGGGAACACCGCGCGATCCAGTCCAAATTCCCGTCCCATTGTGTATGTACATATGAGACCCAGGACACATTGGGCAGTTGAGATTCACATGCCATTCTGGACAACGGAGAGGGAGGCAGGGGTCTGGGATTTCAAAGGGACAGTAGGTAATTCACAGGAAGATGAGAAGGAAGCACATTCTTGCCAGGCCCCCCAGAAACAACAGGACACAGAGGGGGTTCTCATAAGACTTACTTGGGACCTCCCTGTCTGCCACGCTTAATTCTTACGTGGTAAGGTGAGTATGCTAAGGCTGTCTTCCTGAAGCAGGTCTTTCTATCTGAATTCCTTTGGGCGGGGGGGGGGGGGGGGGGGGGGGGGGGGGAGGCGCAAAGTTTCTAAGTCTTTTTTATCTTAAAAATAACCACCTTAAAATAATCAATATTCCCCAAAGGCATATTTTGGGATGGCAAACTCTGCTTCCCCTCAATGTCTGGGATTTCCTTCAAAATAATATCTAATAGTGTCAAGTGGAAGTGACGGCGTGCACGACAAATGAAGTTAGCCATGATTGATCAGTGCTGAATCTAAGTTACAAGTGCATAGAGCTTCATTATACTAGCCCCTCAACTTTTAGAAACAGTTGATATTTTTCCATTATTAAACAATTAAAAGAAAGATAATGATGCCTGCCTACCCAATCCCCCCACTCCCAGCATAAAGAGTGGTGGGGTGAGGCGACCAGCTTTGCTTCTGGGACAGAAGGGGAGGGAACTGAAGAGGCTGAGCGCACTTGGCAGCTAGTATTGGTGAGGAAAGCCGGCCGGTCTGAGTCAGCGGTGACAGCTTTGGGTCAGGAGGGAACCAGCTGAGGTCTGAAGCGGGCCGTGAAAATAATAAGCGAGGGCTGGAGTGGGCCTAGGCTCAACAACTGTAGGCCCGCTCCTACTCGCCGGTTGGTCTTCACTGAGCAACATGCCTGTCAACAACCATGAGTCCTCGGCTCTGAAACAGTCAAAAGAGCATTTTACAAGTTTTAGGCACACCTGACGTTCTGCTAGCTGAGGCAGAGTCATGAAAACAGCAAAGACCAAATCCCGACCCTCAGGAAACGCAGCATTATCAAAAGGCTAAAGACTGTACTGGAGAGCAATACAACTTCAATGTGTGAGCTGGCCTACATGAGCAACATGGAAAGAGGAGGAGCCAGGGAAGGTCTCACAGAAAAAACAACCTTTGAGTTAAAACTAGAAGACTGCCCTGGCCGGGTAGCTCAGTGGATTAGAGCATTGTCCACACCATCAAGCATGTGGGTTTGATCCCAGGTCAGGGCACATGCAAGAACCAACCAGTGAGTGCAGGGTAAGTGGAACAACAAAGCAATGTTTCTCTCTCTCTCTCTCTCTCTCTCTCTCTCTCTCTCTCTCTCTCAAAATCAATAAATAAAGAAAATTTGGGGGGGAAAAACCCACAAAACTTAAAGATTAAGTAGGTATTTGCCAAGACAAGAGCCAGGAGCAGGATTTCACGAAGCAGAGAAGGAATTTGTAAAACAGCATGGAACTGCAAGGCTTGTCCTGGGAACTACAAGTATGTTGTTTTGCTGGAACACAGAAGGGGGTCCTAGTGATACCATGGTACTTACACAGCTATTAACTAACAGGAAAGGAGCAAAGGGGAGGCCAGAGAATACAGGCAAGCCATTGGTGCCCGAAAGCTGCAGTTTAACACTCTCCAAACCTGTTCCCCAGAGCCTGGGGGAAGGGACTGGACAAAACGGAATAGAAGCACGCCCAGTGAAGCCTAGGAGACAGGGGGAGGCTTGCCTGCGGGCCACACCTGGGAACAGCGTAGGTGTATAGGCATGGTCACTGCCAGCACAGGAAGATTTGGTATTTAGGCTCCTTCCCAGCTCCTGGCGTTGGGGCTCTCATGCTCTGCACTCGCCCCTGGGCCCACCGCCGCGTGGACCCCACACGCCATGGACTAATGGACGACAGCTAGCCTGCTGCCCTGCCCACTCAGCTACTCCAGGGAACGAAACTGGACAGTGGCTTTGCTTTTAGCTCTGCTGACCCCCAGCTACACCCTTCCCGGGACTAGCTTAAGGGAAATGGGACTTTGCAAATGGAGGAATGTAATCCCACTCAAATAAAGATTTCTACCACATCTCATCCTCCTCTGGGGGCCTCCGGAAATTCTTACGCCAGCGGCACCCCAAAAACACCACTCGCACTAGCAAGGGAGAACTCCATTCCACAACTCTCTGAGCGCTGCCCCTTACCTCCCTATTCTAGGCGTGCGATCCTTTCAGCCTTTTAAAACTAGTCTCCTGATGGGAAAGGGAGAGGAAATTTCAACTTCAGGGAAACTTAGGGGTGTGGGCCAGGCTGCATTTTGGAGCACAGTTTTAAAACGCAGTCCAAGCCAGATTGATAACAAACAGAAAATGTGAGGGGGTTTAAGGCCCAACGGAAAGACCTGGTGGGAGTGGCAACCACCTACCTGACCAGCATAGGGCCCTGTACCAAGGAGAGAGGCGAGTGAGAATCAACTTCTTTTCCTGCAGAGGTTATCAGGGCAGGTTTACTTATGTCCAAACTATTTCTTTTGTCTTTTTATTTATTTATTACTATACAATTTAAGTTTGATGCACTTATTTCAAAACTACAGATTATATATAAAAAACATAATAAAAGGGTTCTTGTGAGTATAATACTTGAGAAAAGCTTTAAGGAATCATTATCATTACAAAATTGGTAGCAAAACGTTTCTGGGAAATGAAGCTTTGAATTTAATTGGACTTTTAAATGTCTTAGACAAGCAAGTCGTTTGCCACAGTAAATTCTCCATAAACAGCCCTGGCTGCTTTGGCTCAGTGATAGAGCATGGGCCTGCGGACTGAAGGGTCCTGGGTTCGACTGCCGTCAAGGGCACATGCCCAGGCTGCGGGCTTGATCCCCAATAGGGGGCAGCCGATCAATGATTTTCTCTCATCAGTGATGTTTCTCTCCCCTCTCCCTTCCTCTCTGACAGCAATAAAAAAAATATTAAAAATAAAATGTTTTTTAAAAAATTCTTCATAATCATCCGCTGAGGGTTTTACACAATCCCGCTCCCACGCCTGGCGAAGAAGCTTCCCGTTTCTGGGCGGTCACTTCCCCGTGGCGACTCACCCGGGGCTCCCGCAGCCGCCCCGCCCATTGCCCCATAGCCCCGCCCATTGCCCCCATAGCCCCTCCCGCTGCCCAATAGTCCCGCCCCCAGTCACCTGGCCCCTGCGCTCCTCTGTAACCCCGCCCCTCCCGTCGCCCCGCCCCCTGCGCTCCACCGGGTGCGCGTGCGCTGCGCCCGCCCACGGTTCGCGTTCTCCCGCTGGCGGCGGACGCTCGGCCCTCTCTCCTCGGCTTCCTCTGGCGCCGGCTTCGCTCCCGCAGGCCCGGGGAGCCCGCGCGGCCGCTCCTGCTCCCGGTGGTGGGGCCATGGCGCGGCGGCCCGAGGCTGGCGGCGAGGCCCGCAGTGCGCTGGCGCTGCCGGCGCTGCTGGCGCTGGCCCTGTGCGCGCCGGGGGCCGGGGGCCAGGCGCTCGAGTGGTACTCGGCCGTGGTGAGCCTGGAGTACCTGGATCGGCAGACGAACCGGACCGTGTGCAGCGTCTCGGAGAGTGGCCGCTTCGGCGACAGCTCCCCCAAGGAGGGCGCGCTGGGCCTGGTGGGCGTCCCGGGCGCCCGGGACGGCGACCCTGAGGGTTGCGCGCCCGACACGCGCTTCGTGGTGCCCGCGCCGGGCGGCCGCGGAGCCGCGCCCTGGGTCGCCCTGGTGGCGCGTGGGGGCTGCACCTTCAAGGACAAGGTGTTGGTGGCGGCGCGGAGGAACGCCTCGGCGGTGGTGATCTACAACCAGGAGCGCCACGGGAACATCACGGCGCCCCTGTCGCACGCGGGTGAGCGGGCGGGCGGGCGTCGGGGACCCAGGGAAGCCCTGGATTTGCTGGCGACCCCCGGGGTGCTGTCAGGAGGGACGCCAGCCTACCCACGGATTACACCTTCGCCTTGGCCCTTTTCCCAGGGCCGTGCCGGGGGCGAGAGAAATGAAAACCCACAGGGGGGGCGAGTGATTCCAACCTGGCGAGTCTCATGATTGTTCCTCGCGGTCCCTTTCCACGCTCCGTCCCCCAGAGCCGGCGGGGCAGGAACCTGAGCTTCCCGCAGGGCACCGCAGGCTGGCGGCCCCGCCCCGGGTAGAGGGGCTTGGTGGCATCGGTTTCTGACTTTCTGAAAACATGTCTGAGCGTCCTCAGCCGAGCCGGGAAATCGGACTTACCTCTGAGCCAAAAGGCCTGGATTTCAGTTTGGATATGTTGTCTCACTTACTGAATGTAAAGGTCATGATACTGGCTTGACTGCCCATCAGATTCGTTTAGCCTTGAGTTTGGATGAAATTTTTAATGCCGTGTTGGTTCAAGAAAAGATCTTGCTTTTTGCCAGGTGAGCCTTCCTACATACACGCATTCCCCAGGGCAGCAGGTTGCGTTTTCAGGAAGTGGCGATCGTTTAAAAGTCTCCTTTTGTGAGGTGTCTTCAGACCAGAGTCAGTGCCTTTGACCAGTACGCAGCAGAAATGTCTTTCTGTTCTTGCAAGATCATGACTCATTCTGAACTTACTGTTATTAGAATCTTTTAAAGTTTCTGCTGCTACTGCGAGTACTTTTGTTTTTCATTCTGTTTTGGCTTTTTGAATGCAAGTTCAGAGCCTGACTGTAAAGTGAAGACAGGAAAGTCTTTGGATTTGCCCTATTTTAGAGGAGTGACAGGAACAGAAGTCAGTTGAGAGGGAGGAAGCGGACACTGAGTTGCCTGGAAGGGCTGGGGAGGTGCTGAGAGGGCAGGAACTGTGGGGCCAGGGCGGTGGGTGGTGGTGAGGCATATTTGAAGTGGAGGATAGAGAAGAGGAAACCGGCAGAGGAAGGCCTTTGAGGGATGGCGTCCAGGACACTGGTGGGGCGCTTGGCCCAAGATGTAGAAGCAAAATTCCTCAGTTGCCACAGAAAGGAAGTGGGTTTGGAGAGGAAACGGAGATGTCCATTTAGATTCGTATTGGGCAGTTATTCCAATGATTACAGATCTACCCAGTTGTGGTTGTACACAAGCCACGCTTCCCAAGACTCAGGAAAAGCCTGCCCATCAGATCGCACATAGTGTTCCAGGTACATCCGATCCACGGTGCTTCCCGTTTGGCAGTTGGGTCAGGATTCTCTGATTCTGGGTCCTTTCAATCACTTCTAACATCCTAATGTAGCCATTTTCTTTCCAATGGCAGGCTCATCAACCTGCAGTTTCCTAAATCTGCATTTTTAAAAAAATATGTTTTCATTGATTTCAGAGGAAGGAAGAGGGAGGGAGAGAGAAACATCAATGATGAGAGAGAATCACCTATCTTCTGCCTCCTGCACACCCCACACTGGGGATCGAGCCCGCAACCTGGGCATGTGCCCTGACCAGGAATCGAACCATGACCTCCTGGTTCATAGGTCGATGCTCAACTACTGAGCCACACTGGCGGGACTTAAATCTGCACTTTCTTATAAAGACACTAACATCTTTCCAGACTAACAGGACTGGTCCTAACCATGGTTCAGCAACCTTGCTTGTATTATTGACATGCAGTTTATCCAGGCCCAGGAAAGCACTTCTTATTTTAACTCTTCTCGTAGGCATTTGTTCCCATTACCAGTGTCCATTCCAGCCTTGTTGCCGTGAGAATAATTCTGTTTGAGAAAAATGAAGAAAGGAACAGCAGTTTTTAATGTGTGAACGTGCCCAGTGCTTAGCGTACTGCTCAGTGTTCTCTAGACCAGCTCGCCAACCGGTGGCCCGCCGACCACAGACTGCTGGTCCGTGAGGTCCGAAAGACTGGCGACTACTGTTACACAGCGCTCTCATAATCCTCCTGACAGCACTTTAAGGTGGTACTTTAACCCCGTTTTTCCAATGAGGAAACTAACATTCAAAGAATTTAAATGACTGGCCCAAAGCAACAAGGTGATAGGCCAGGGCTGGGCAAACTTTTTGACTCGAGGGCCACAGTGGGTTCTTAAACTGGACCGGAGGGCCGGAACAAAAGCATGGATGGAGTGTTTGTGTGAACTAATATAAATTCAAAGTAAACATCATTACATAAAAGGATACGGTCTTTTTTTTGTTTTTTTTTTTTTTTTTTTTTTTTTTTTTTTTTTTTTTTTTTAGTTTTATTCATCCGGCCCGCGGGCCGTAGTTTGCCCACGGCTGCAATAGACTATCAGATCATTCTTTGTTGTGGGAGGGACTGTCCTGTGCATTACAGGACATTTAGCAGCATCCCTGGCCTCTATCCACTAGTTGTGACAACAACATTGCCAAGTGTTGCAGGGGGCGGGGGCGGGCGGGGAGTGAAGAGAGAGGATGACTCAATCATCCAGCTTTTTGAACCACTGACTTAAAGGGAGATGAACAGTTTGGTAGCAGTGTGACTAATGGATTAAACACAAGAAAAACTGGAAGTAGAGAATCCAGTTAGACTGTTGGGTGAGTCCAAGTAGAAATAGAAGGGCCCAAATGGTGGCGACTGTAAAGATGGAAAAGCAGGACCCTCACAGAACTTAACCCAGCTGGGGGTAAGGGTACAAATGTATCATGACTTTTTGAGAGTGAGATAGAATTAAAACAGAATGAATGTAATGAAGTCAGAAGAACCAGTCTGACGAAGATGAATCTGAACTGTTACACACAGCCTTGAAGGCAGTGCAGACTTAGGCTTCTAGTATTGTGTCAGAATCAGGCTAGAGCCAGTGAAAACCTGGGATGCAGTGGTGCTCCTGTGTAACCCTGGTGTTAGACGCAATCGGTGGAGATGGCCGCTTCTCAAATTGAATCAGGAGAGTCTCAGGGAGACTTTCTCCAGTTTTTCTAAACCTGTTGCTTGATTCTACTAGAATCCAGTATAAGATATTTTGGGTTTATATCAGTATTACATTGTGGCTCTAAAATAAATCATGACTTTAAGATAATTATCTGTCAGAACAGCTATAAGAAGTGTTACACTAATGCCCAGAGTGGATGCCCTTTAGCAAACAGGTACTGAGCCAAGTATTGTATCTTCTCAGAGACAAATAGGTAAGACATATACCTGCCTTTGAGGAGTTTGCACCTAGTGAGAGCAATAAGCAACAATGAAGATGGCTAGAAATTAGTTTGAACATGATCAGTAAAAATTGATATAAGTCAAATAATTAAAATGAAATCTTTTATACAGTACTAAGGCCAGATGCACAAAATTCGTGCGAGAGTAGGCCTTCCTTACCCCGGCTGCCGGCACCCTCACAGAGGGAGGCCCCACCCATCTACCGCAGCCCCCCTGTTGGTGGCCTGGGCCTCACTCTTTGGGGCAATCATGGAGCCTCCCAATCGATCATCCCGTCGGCTGGTGGCCTGGGCCTTCCTCTGCGGGGTGATCATGGGGTGATGGCCGGGCCCCCAAACATTTGCATTGCACCTGCTTTGGCTGGCCTGGCGCCAGTGGCTGTCAGCGTGGTCCCAGATGGTTGTCCGGAAGGTCATCTGGACAGTCGTTCTGCTGTTCGGCCGTCCAGTCTAATTAGCATATTATGCTTTTATTATTATAAACTAGGGACCCAGTGCATGAATTCATGCACCTGGAAAGGAACTGTTTGCTGCGAGGCTGCGGTGGGCATAGGGGCAGGTCTCAGCCTATCCTCCACGCCCCTGCCCAGCCCCTCCCACCGCAGGCCCCAGTCCTCTGTCTGCCAGCAGCCCCGCTCCCGCCGCCACCACTCCCATGCACTGACGGCACCGGCCCTACTCGCACCCGCTGACGGCACGGAGAAATTGGACCGGTGCCAGCAATGAGTGCAAGCGGCAGCGATTGCCACTCAGGAGCAGGGGAAGGTGGAGAAACCCTCAGGGGCGATCAGGGCTGGTAGCCGCCACTCGCACCCACTGACGGTGCCGAGTGATTGGGGCTGGCGCCAGGCACCAGCAGTGGGTGCAAGCGGGGCTGGCGCTGGCAGCAGATGCAAGCGCTGGGCAGGACTGGTACTCAGGAGCAAAGAATTTTCAGTAACCACCAGAGGCGCACCCCGCCTTGGTCTGGCACTTCAGTTTTTTTTTCTTTCTTTTTTTATTCTGGTTCACCTGCTCTACCATCCCGCCGCAGCTGAGGCCCACCATGTTCAGTGTGAGCCCCCTGGTGGTCAGTACACATCATAGCAACCGGTTGTTTGGTTGTTCCACTGTTCGATCTATTTGCATATTAGGGTTTTATATATATACTAAAGGCCCGGTGCACAAAAATTTGTGCACTCGGGGGTAGAGGGTCCCTCAGCCCGGCCTGTGACCTCTTGCAGTCTGGGACCCCTCGGGGGTGACCACTTACTGGCTTAGGCCTGCTCCCTGGGGGGATTGGGCCTAAGATGGCAATCAGACATCCCTCTGGCATCCCAGCAGCCCTCAGAGGATGTCCCTTTGCCAGCGGGGAGCAGACCTAAGCTGCAGTCAAACATCCTTAGCACTGCTGAGGAGGCAGGAGAGGCTCCCACCACCACTGCTGTACTGGCAGCCATCAGCCTGGCTTGTGGCTGAGCAGAGATCCCCCCCTGTGAGAGCGCACTGACCACCAGAGGGAAGCTCCTGCATTGAGCATCTGCCCCCTGGTGGTCAGTGTGTGTCATAGTGACCAGTCATTCCCAGTCTTTCTGCTGTTAGGGTCAGTTTGCATATTACCCTTTTACTATATAGGATAGAGGCCTGGTGCACGGGTGGGGGCCGGCTGGTTTGCCCTGAAGGGTGTCCCAGATAAGGGTGGGGGTCCCGCTTGGGTGCCTGGCCAGCCTGGATGAGGGGATGATGGCTGTTTGCAGCTGGTCGCACCCCCTTCAGGGTGGTGGTC